AGTTATTGCTTCCTTTAACTCAATATAGCATTTGACACAGATTCAGATATATCTTAGTTATTTTTTAAGTTAACAGAACAAAATTCAAATAGCATATAAAAATAATTTATCTAACAAGACCGTGCATTTGTTGTGTTGTTTCAATTAAATATAAAACTCAGAGAGATGTCATGTTTTTAAAAACTTTAACCATAATCAGATTTTCCTTTAGGGATGTTTTAGTATTGATGATTAGAAGTTTAGAGTCAGATGAGACCTTAAACCCATATTTATGACAGTGGTAATTGAACTGATTGATTACAACATCTTCTTTCAAATAATATTGATTATGCAGACAGTCCACAGAGCTAAGATATCAGTAGGCAGTTTGCTGTAAGCGCATGTTCAATTATTAAAATAGTCGACATTTTATGTCTGATAGCCATAGTGAGGTCATGACATTAATTTATCCAGAGGATTGTGGGCCACTATCTAAAAAAAAAAAAAGTAGCATAAAGACACAGATGCTGAAGCACTTAAAAAACAACAACAAAACAAAACAAAAAGATGAATCTCTGAGCACAGAGGCTTTAAGAGATGACCAGTATATTTGAAAGTAGAGCTGGAAATAGGCAGCAGGCATCACACTGCTACAGACAATACGTCTTTAAAGCTATGCTGCGTAAACATTCATTTCCGGTATACTTTCTCATTAAATTCTGAACTTGAACACTATTCCCGAGTTTCTGCCATCTAATTTCATGTTTTATTTGTTGCTTCAGTGCTCAGTGATTCTTTGCTCTTCACTCTCATCCTTTCACCCCCTTCTTCATTCCCCTCCCTCTACCAATTCCTGTTTTCCTTTTCTTCCTCTCTATTTTTCCTTCCTGCCTTTCTCTCTCTCTCTTGAGAGCGTGTGCTTAATTCCACGTTTCCTTCGGCTGCCCACTTGTGTGTGTGTGTGTGTGTGTGTGTGTGTGCTTTTTGTTTTTGCACTTGAGTTTTTCTTTCTCTCTTCTCTTCCCTTTTCTTTCAAATCAGGAGGCTGTAGGAGCTGATTTTAGATATATGTCCGCCTGCAGATGCTTCTTTCTCTTTAGAGACTGTGTGATGTTGTCTTTGGAACCTCTGCAAATGGTTGTCCTTTACGGGGGTTGCCACAGATCTGTTGCCAAACTGCTACCTTAGTTGGTCCTGCAGTGCCGCAGTGCATGCTGGGATCTGTCTGTGTGCGTAAACTGAAATTTCAACAGCACCAGACAGCATTCGAGTTGGCTTGAGAATTGCAGTACTTCTCTTTCCTTTGTATGTATTTCTTGTATGCTGCGGAGTCGCCGGTGGCTAGCTCCGTCTGAGCAGTAATTCAGGAATATTGCTCATGTAGAAGGGAAAGGTGGGCAGGGTACCACACTCTGTGATTAAAGCGAGCCGTCGAAGAACAAAGGAACTGGGTAAATACCTATAGACTGCCTTTTGTGCTGTGAAACACGGTAGCACAAACATGACTGTGTTCAGCCAAATAGTTTACTTCTTTTTTTATAACAATGCATATAGATTGTTTTCATATATGTGCACAAATCCATATTTATGTAAATATAGATTCAACCTTTAATATGTTTAGCCTGCAAATGTGTCTTCATCTCAAAGACTTTTGCATATTCACCAGCACACAGCTATATGGTATTATTTTTTAAAGTTCTTAAATCAAAAGAGAAAAATCAAAATATATATATATATATACTAACAGCCCGTTGGTTGATTTCATTCCAGCACCTTCATTCAACACAGTTTAAATCATATTGATGATTCAGATGCTGGCAGAGTTTATCATTCTTGTGCAATGAGAGCATCGCTAATAAAAATATTGAGCAATTATTTTTATTAAAATCGTAGTTCCTTTATTATTAAATAGAAATGATTAATGTATAGAGATCAGTCTCACTCTTACATCTCTCAGGCAGTCCGGGGGCTTCCTACAGAAGTGAAAAGATGCTTTTGCACTTTAGTCAGACGGGGGTGAGGGGTGGGGGGCGGTGAGGAAGGCATGGAATAAAGTCTAGGGCTGGGAAAGAATCGCTGGCGTTATTTCTCTTCCTCTCACGTGTGAGTCTGGCTGCCTGCTGCCCGGGGTAGTGGATCCAGGATGAGACTGTGTCAGAGCCTGTTTCCACAGGCTCCGCTTATTGATTAGGGAAGAAGGGGTGGGGATCCGAGTGTGAGGTGAGGGGAGGACCCGCTGACTACTGGCTCGGGGAAGAGCAAGGTATTTTCTTCCAGAAAGATGTCCAACAACCCAGACATAGCCACAGGGGAAGTAGAAAGGTGGCAAAATAAGGAGGCTCCCAGAAATGAAGGCATTTCCGATGGAAGCCTGGGGGCTTTTTTCTTTTCACTCCTATTCTTTCTTTTCTTCTTTTTTCTCCCCCCCCCCCTCCCATCATATGACTTTCAAAGGCTAGAGTGACAGCGTCATGCAAATGCTGCAGTCCCGCAGGTCTGGGAGAGGGTGGATGCGAGCCTGCGAGTTAATGTTAATGATGAGCGCAGTGAAAATACCAGCCGCTGCCACCCCCTGCACACAGAGCGCTCTGAGTCAGCATCAGATGCTGTGCCTGCCTCTCGCTGGGTGTCTGCATGGCTGTGCGCGCGCCTGCTCGCTCGGGCACCCGTGTCTAGCCGAGGGGAGGGGGTGGCGTGTGAGTGCGTGGAGGGTAAAAGCCAGTCAGTCAGTGAGAAGCAAAGGTACGTTGGAGAGCAACTAAAATCTGACTGATTTCCATCTTTGGAGCATCAGATGTATTCCCTAAGGAGGATGGGTCTCCGTGATGGGGGTGGTATAATTATGTTAATGTCATATTTATGGAGGGGTGAGATTTTTCATTCTAATAATTGGTTGAATGCTCTGGTCAAGAATGGTAAAGCCATCTTCAGTTTTAAGGAAAAGCATGGACTTGAGATGTAAAGGCTGTTTTATTTTTATTTATTTATTTTTTTTTTGTTAGTGCTGCTTTTTTTTTTGTTTGATTTTTTTTTTAAAAAAAAAGAAAAAGAAAACTATTTGCTATTTTAAGCGAAAAGTGGGAGGGGGAAAGGGGGAAGTTGGAGAGAATCGGGAAGGTCTGAATGGGAGAGCAAGCTGACTAACATTCTGTTTTGTAAGTTATAAATCTTTGACTAGCAAAGTGAAGGTGGAGGGGGGGGGGGGGTGGGGGTGGGAAAGGGGTGTGGTACTAGGGTGGAGGGGGGGGCAGTTAGCAAATATTTTGTTCAGCTTAGCTTTCCTTGCAGCTTACTTGGAAATGGATGATTCACCTGTTCTACAGGAAAACATTCTAATTCTTTGCGTGTTTTTTTTTCAGCCATAACTGATTCAGTATGGAAAAAATCAAATGATAAACAAAAAGAGATCTTATATAATGATGCATTGCATCATGGAGCAGAATATTTAAAGTCTTACAAGGCAAAGTGAAGATCT